TTAAGATCTGGACCAAGGCTGTAATTTTCTGTTCTCTTAATTTTAAAATAAGATTGAAGATTAAAATTTGAAGTACCAGGGGAACCAGCAGTTAGCGTAATGGCTATGTCGCTGGACTCCCACGTAGTCGACCGCGGTTCGTGTCCCGGACCCGGTGGCTTAAAACTCACGCCAGGCGCGTGTGCGTGCGTGCCCAAGATCCCGAGAGGAGAATGGAGGAGAAGGGATTGTGGCGTGACCATCCCCCCTGGGGGGTGATTTCTCGCTTTCTGTCTCTATGTCTCTCTCTGTCTGTCTGGCGAGCGCACGCGCCCTACAGTGAAAATCTCTCCAAAAAAAAAAAAATTTGAAGTACAAGTAATTTTTATGCAGATGGAAAAATAAAAATCCCAGTAGGTATAGGCTTAGATAATGCAGAAATAACACTATGTATTAATAACTATTCTCTATTTTATAATTTTCAAAAACGTCCACAGGAAACTGATTCTCAAATTTTATAAGGCATTAAAATCATCCATGAAGCTAATTAGCAGTAGAAATTTGTAAACCCCACATTCAGACATTTCTTTTTTTTTTTTTTGAAAGACTTTATATAATTTTATTTATTGCTGTTACTCTTTAATTTGCTATAGGGCATATGCATTCACCAGAGAGAGAGGAAAAGTGAGAAAGTAAGCTGCCAGGTCTGAGACTCAAACCTCAGTCGATCATGTGCCTTAACCACCATGCCATCTGCTGGTCCATCATTTCTTAATGAAGGCTTCAGGAGAGCCCAAGTCAGGTGATCTGAAGACCAACTTTTGGGAGATTTTAGTAAAATCTTTATAGTAAAAAAATATTGAAGGGCACCAGCAGGTGGCATGGCAGTTAAAGAGCTGGATTCCTACATGACCAACCATGGTTCCAGTCCCAGACTCAGCCACTCAAAATTCACAGCAGGTGTGCACACATGCATTCCCAAAATCCCAAGAGGAGAACAGGGGAGAGGGGACTGCAGCATGGCCATCCTCCCGGGGGGTGATTTCTTACATTCCCTCTCTGACCCTCTCATGTGCCCTATGACAAAAACCTTTTAAAAAATAAAGAATATTGAGGTTCTTATCCCTACTTTGCATCATAATATTGTCAGGCTAACCATTTAATCTCTGAACCTACTACAAATAACTATACCTGAAATACCAACAAAGAAATAAAAAGAATAGTGAGAAATTAAAGAAGGGCAGCGTCCTGGTTGCACACGCAATAGGGAAACTGTTTTATAATACTAGAGGCCATATGGGAAGGTTCCAGGTCTGTGTCCTAGGGGCCAATACACCAAGTGTGTGCACTGGGACACTGCAGGACTGAGAGGGATCACACAGTGAGATCTCACTCTTTCTCACTCTTGAAAGAGATAAGTAAACTTAAAGAAAAGAAAGAGGAAAAAAGAATAGAGAAAGAAAAAAAGCAAAGAGAAAAGAAAACTTCAAAAGGGGAAAATCATTTCCATTAGGCAGGGAGCATGGTCAGAAAAGACCTCAGGTTCCTCCTTTAGTTTTTCATAACCCTTTACTTAGACTTTTCTTATGTTACCTCAGTGGTAACTATTTGTAGTCTCATCTCATTGTCCTTACACAAATATAAATTCCTAAAGAATTGGATCACTGTTTTTTTCCTTCTTGTGTCCTCTGCTGTACCAAACACAATGCTTGCAAAGAACAATAAGCATTGTAATAGTTACTCCTTAAATGTTAAACGTTAGAATTCACTTTTATTTATTATTTATTTATGTATTTGCTTATTTAATTTGCTAGAGGGTTCTGCACTCTCAGAGGCAGGGGGAATTTGGGGAGAGAAAGCAAGAAAGCACCCCACAAGGGTCATGGTCACACAAGAATCCCTTCTCTTTTTCTCCCTTTTGGGATTTTAGACACTCACTCCCCAAATGTACATATGTGCACAAACACATGCTCAGCATGGTTTTTTCAAGCTGTGGGGTGCAGGACCACACCACACAGTCAGCCATATGGGAATCAGCTGCCTTAACCACCAGGTCACAGCTGGTCCTACTTTAACTTTTCAACTTAATTTTTAAATTTTATTATTTGTGGTTGACCAATTATAACTGTGTACACTTTTTGGGTATAAGGTGATAGTTTGATATATGCATACAATGTGAAATGATTAAATCAACATATCAATACCTCATTATTTTTTATGATGAGGCATATATATATATATACACATTAGCCTGTAGTCACCTTGCTATGCAACAGATCTCTAAACACATTTCTGTCTTTATGAAACTTTGTATCTTTTTATTAATAACTTACCATCTTCCATCTTATCTCCACCTCAGGTACCATCATTCTACTCACTACTTCCATGAGTTCAGTATTTTTTGTCATATCCCAAAAATTGACAGAGCAATGTCATGAAAATTTTTGTTAAGTTTTCTTCTAGTAGTTTTACAGTTAATCCATTTTGACTTAATTTTTTGTATATGGTGTGAGACAAGACTCCAGCTTCATTCCTCTGCATAGAGATATCCAGTTATCCCAACACCATTGATTGAAGAGATTGTCCTTTCCAAATTATGTGTTTTCAGCACCTTTGTCAAAAATTGACTATAAATATGAAGATTTATTTCTGTTCCATTAGCCAATGTGTATTTTTATACCATACCAGGCTATGCTTTAATATACTGTGTAATCAGGAAGTGTGGTGCCTCCAGTTTTGCTCTCTGTGTGCTCAAGATGATTTTGGCTATTAGGGGTCTTTTGTGGGTCCATGTCAGTTTTTTCTATTTCTGTGAAAAATTACATCGGAATTTCGATAGAGATTGCATTGAATCTGTAGATTACATACTTTGGTTCTTTTAAAATAAACAATGAGGTGGAAGTTTTAGGGCACCCAAAGACCTACAAGCTAAATTATTTTACTGCCACTTTATTTTCCACCTGAAGTAATATCACACAATATTGGGTTTAAGATCTTTATTTTCCTGAGCATAGTTGATCTTCCACTTTTGGTATTAAATATATATATATATATGTATATGTATATATGTATATATATATAAGAATCTGACACTATCTAGTGGATAACTCCTTGATTTTTTAGAACTGCTCTTGGAACAGAAAACATCAGCTGTAATAAAGTTCATTTACTCCTGAGGCAGATTCAGTGTACAGATAATCAAGAAGTACAGAAAACTGTGGAGAGCGTTTCCTCAGTAACTTTACAAGAAATACAAATTGAATTGGCTAACATTTGTGAAGTTAATCGATGGAGAAAGTCCACAAACAAATTTAGAAGGATTTAAGAAGAGACATCAGTCTGAATTTGCAAAAATGTTTTTGTGTCCTCAAAGATTGGGAAAGATCGTCTCTCATTTTAATTATTAGAAAATCTCCGGTGCATAAAAATCACTCAACATTCTCGCAGAATAATTGTCCCCTATTTCATTTTAATTTGGCATTATGATACCATCGATTCACTGGAGTCTCTGGAGTCGGATTACTCAGATTCTGACTGTACTGTTTCCACTAGTGTGACCCGAAAAGGTAAAGCCTCTGAGGTCGAGATACGTAAAATAAGCATTATGAGACTTCTTCCAGGCATTTTGGGGGAGAACTAAATACAAGGTCTAACACACAGCAAAGGCTCGCGAACGGCAAGCCAAGGACGAATCCTTGAAGGCCCCCGAGAGAAGTGTGAAGTCAATGGTAAGGGACCAACACGCTAAGCGAACCCCAGCTTTCACGCTGTTGCACTCCGTGGAAGAAATTCCCGGCCGCGAAGCCCTGGTCTGGGCACAGGGCAGAGTCTGAACGCAGGTCGGCAGAGACTCAAGGAGAGCGCCTGCACGTAGCCACGCCAACCGCGCCATTTGAAAATAAACAATGAGGTGGAAGTTTTAGGGCACCCAAAGACCTACAAGCTAAATTATTTTACTGCCACTTTATTTTCCACCTGAAGTAATATCACACAATATTGGGTTTAAGATCTTTATTTTCCTGAGCATAGTTGATCTTCCACTTTTGGTATTAAATATATATATATATATATGTATATGTATATATGTATATATATATAAGAATCTGACACTATCTAGTGGATAACTCCTTGATTTTTTAGAACTGCTCTTGGAACAGAAAACATCAGCTGTAATAAAGTTCATTTACTCCTGAGGCAGATTCAGTGTACAGATAATCAAGAAGTACAGAAAACTGTGGAGAGCGTTTCCTCAGTAACTTTACAAGAAATACAAATTGAATTGGCTAACATTTGTGAAGTTAATCGATGGAGAAAGTCCACAAACAAATTTAGAAGGATTTAAGAAGAGACATCAGTCTGAATTTGCAAAAATGTTTTTTTGACCTCAAAGATTGGGAAAGATCGTCTCTCATTTTAATTATTAGAAAATCTCCGGTGCATAAAAATCACTCAACATTCTCGCAGAATAATTGTCCCCTATTTCATTTTAATTTGGCATTATGATACCATCGATTCACTGGAGTCTCTGGAGTCGGATTACTCAGATTCTGACTGTACTGTTTCCACTAGTGTGACCCGAAAAGGTAAAGCCTCTGAGGTCGAGATACGTAAAATAAGCATTATGAGACTTCTTCCAGGCATTTTGGGGGAGAACTAAATACAAGGTCTAACACACAGCAAAGGCTCGCGAACGGCAAGCCAAGGACGAATCCTTGAAGGCCCCCGAGAGAAGTGTGAAGTCAATGGTAAGGGACCAACACGCTAAGCGAACCCCAGCTTTCACGCTGTTGCACTCCGTGGAAGAAATTCCCGGCCGCGAAGCCCTGGTCTGGGCACAGGGCAGAGTCTGAACGCAGGTCGGCAGAGACTCAAGGAGAGCGCCTGCACGTAGCCACGCCAACCGCGCCACGCCAACCGCGCCAAGCCCATCGCGCCCCCAGTAACCCGACGCCGGAACCCAAGCTCCGAGGTTCTCGTTGCTTGGACTTCCGTCGGAACTCTCTGCGGAAAGACCCGCGTGAACACAACTTCCGGTCCGGGAGCAGACTTCATTCCTGTGGATTAAGCGGCTTTCGTGGGGGGTCCGGGCCGCGCGTGACCATGTGGCGGCTGCTGGCTCGCTCCGGGGCCCAGCTCCTGCGGGTGCCCGTGTCAGGTCAGAGGTGCCCTTTGAAAAAGCTCCCCCTCTTCCCTCAGCCACCCCTCAATGCCGTGTCTCCCAAACCCCGGAAAGTGCGTGCGCTTGTGGAAGCCCTGGTTAAGGGCTGCTATCTGTCGCCGCCACCTTCACCTCCCCCGTGCAAAAGGTCGCAGCTGCGCCTGGTGGTCGGCGCCCAGAGACCCCGGCTGGCCATGCTGGGGACCCGAGCCTGTGAGCCCATTTAGTGGAACCCAAGCCCCGCACTTCAGGACTCCTCTGCTTGCCGCTGTGGTTGTGTAATTTGATTTGTCTTTGTAGATTCTTGGGCAGCTCTGCCCGCCAGTGCTGGCCTGAAGACGCTGCTCCCGGTGCCTGCTTTGGACGGTGAGAGCTTTTCTGTCCGTTTCCTGTCTGTCTGTCCTTTGGGGAAACTCAGCAGAGGGCAGAGGTCATAGGAGGTTTTCTGTTTCCTATCGCCGTTCTCTCATTCAGTCCATTTGTATCGAGGGCATACTGGATTACCAGAAGCATTCTAAGCACCAGAGAAAATCCAAAAACAGAAGACGTCCAAAAAGGTTCCTGCTCTTAAGGAGCAATGTCATGGGATAACCCCCAGCCTTCCAGTGCTGTGTGGCCCATGGTCCACTCGACCCAGGATAACCAGTGTCAAATTTGGACTTTCCATGTTCTCTTCTAATCCAGGGCAGACATTTAACAATATTATATTAATATAAAGGAAACCAAGAGAAATATATAAAAGTATATACATATATATTATTTAACAACATATCATTAATGTGTTAAATGTAAATATTTAAGATTAGCCACAGTTTTGCAAATCTAAGGTAAAAGTCTTTTTTTTTTTTTTAAGTTTGCTATAGGGTGCCTGTGCTTGCAAAAGAGAGAGAAAGGGAAAAAAGTGAGAACTGAGCTCCTAAAGGGATGGGGATGACTACGCCTCGGTCCTTTCTCCTCCATTCTCCCTCAGGATTCTGGGCTTGTGCGCACACACACCAGGCATTAGTTTCAAGATGCGTGGTCCAGGACTCATACAGTCATCCATGTGGAAGGCAGCCACCTTAAACAGTGTGCCACCTGCTGCTTTTTTTTTTTTTTTTAATATACTAGAAACCTCAAAAAACTGAAAGGGCAGGACCAACAGATGGCATAATGGCGTATTGTCTAGTCACTGGTCTCCCACATTCTTGACTGGACCCAGCAGCTTAAAACTCGTGCCTGGTGAGTGCGTATATGTGCCCAAAATCCTGAGAGGAGAATCAAGGAGAAGGAATTGTGGTATGGCCATTCTCCCTGGGGGAGTGATTTCTTTCTGTCTGTCTCCCTGTGGCAAGCATATGAGCCCTGTAACAAAAATCTCTCTCAAAATAAGGGGGACCTGGACTTCTTTTCTACTCTCAATTGTTAAACTGCTGTATATTCTGGAGCCATACAGCAACATATTATAGGTAAGAAAAAACAGTATACTAAGTTTGTTTGTAGCTACACAGAGAAGCCTGGGGTGGGGGGTAGTTTCTGTAACTTTGAAGAGTGATAATTTGACATTTCTATGAACAGTGTGCTATTTTCTTGAAGTCTCATGGTGTTTTGTCTCCATCATAAAGCAGTGTTTCACTACAGAAACTGTTTAAATGACTTACAAGTTCATATTTTCCCAAAATTGTCAAGTAAAGATTTAGTGCCCCTCCCACCCCCCGTGTTGCACATTATAGGATCTATGCAAGTCTGGGTATGTAAAGCCTCTGCATACATAAAAGTAAGAGCATCAGTCAAAGGATTCCTAAGTTGCAAGTTTTACCAACGAGAATGTGACAGAGCTGGAGAACTTATTTTCACAGTACAGTACAATATTCCTTCTGCTATTCTGTTCAGAGAGGCAATGTAGTGTTTTTTGTTGTTTTTCCAAGCGTAATGCTACCTGGCTTTGGGTTTTTTTTTGGTTTTTTTTTTTTTGAGAGGGTTTTTCGCTATAGGGCCCGTGCGCTCGCCAGACAGACAGAGAGAGACATAGAGACAGAAAGCGAGAAATCACCCCCCAGGGGGGATGGTCACGCCGCAATCCCTTCTCCTCCATTCTCCTCTCGGGATCTTGGGCGCGCACACACACGCGCCCAGCGTGAGTTTTAAGCCACCGGGTCCGGGACGCGAACTGCGGTCAACTACGTGGGAGTCCAGCGACATAGCCATTACGCTAACCGCTGGTTCCCCTGGCTTTGTTATTTTAACCTGATGGCCTAGACCAAATTATAAAAAATACTACCTGGGTAATGTTCTGTCAACCTAGTAATAGTGGTGTGTGTTTATGCAGTCACTTTCTGGTAAATCATTCAGCTGTATACTTTTTATACAACCCTTTTATATATGTGTGTTAAACTTCTAAAAGTTCAGTTTTAAAATGAAGTCCTAGAAAGATATCTTGGCTATAAAGTATTTTTTTTTAATTATCTGTCTATTGTGATTTTTCAAGCCCTAGGTCCTAGACTTGAACACATTTGGTCATGTAGGAATCCAGCTCCTTAACCACCATGACACCTGCTGGCCCCAGCTATAAAATGTTTTTAAGGATTAAATGAAATCATTCCCAAACAGTCCCTATTACAGTGTTGAGCACTGAGTAGGGATTTTAAAAATATTTTTTGCTTTGAGGGTTAAAACTTGGCAGTCCTCAGAGATTTTGAAACATTTATGTTAGCCATTATTATAGGCAGAAGATTCACTGTCACTAAAAGCACCTATAAGAAAAATGTAATACACTTTTGGAATTATTGTACCATAACCTGCACCAGATTGTTCTCAATGTAGGAAGAAAGTGGATTCTTTGAGGCATGTCACTCTACCTGTTTTTGCTTGTCTGTTCTTCTTTTAGATGTTTCCATACCTGAAAAGCCCAAGCTTCGATTTGTTGAAAGAGTACCACTTGTGCCAAAAGTGAAAAGAGAACCTAAAAATTTGAATGATATCCGGGGACCTTCCACTGAAGCTACTGAGTTCACAGAAGGCAGTTTTGGAATCTTGGTGAGTGAGTTCAGCATCAAGCATCTATGAGATAGAAACCTGGGATTCATAAAATCTTTTACTCTGAATTATTCTAGTTCCTTTCTATAGTTTTTATTAGAACTGCCGCCAGTTGCTCTTTAAACTGATGTGCACAGAGGTTATTGGGTACCCAGTAAACATCTGAGTTTTGTTTTTCTCTAATGTGGAGTGAAAATAATATAGCAGCAGGAAAAGTAAGAGGCTACCTAATTTGTCCCATAATCAGACTATGAGATCTTCATGACGCTATCCATTACTTAGGATAGGAGACAGCTGTTCCCTTTCTTGCCTCGTAGCTTCCATGAAGATTTGATGTCAGTAGCTACACAAACGGGTGTGCACTAGGATTTATTTTCCACCCGACAGCCAGTGTGATGTTTCAAGTCCTCTTCCCACAGTTGGCATGATCTTCCCATCCCTCTCTCTAGTTCAGTCACACTGGCTTCTACTCAAACCCACCATGATGTTTGCTGGTCGAGCCATTCCTCGCCTGGGACACTCTTTTTCCTTGGCGAGTTCTTATTCTGGCCTCAGTTTTAAATGTCACCTCATACAGGCCTTCTCTGCCTCTCTGTTGAAGTGGGTTCTTTATTACTGGACTCTAGGCTTTTCCTCCATGGTCTGTATTTGAACATATATATATATATATTTTTTATGTGATTATTGAAGCCGTAGTTACTATCAAAGAAACATAATGACAGAGCTCCTAAAGGTATCTAAGTCTCCATGTGTTCCTGATTCTCCCATTGACTTTTAGGCACTGGGAGGCGGTTACCTTCGTTGGGGCCATTTTGAAATGATGCGCCTGACAATCAACCGCTCTATGGACCCCAAGAACATGTTTGCCATATGGCGAATACCAGCTCCTTACAAACCCATCACCCGCAAGGGTATGGGGCAGCGCATGGGGGGAGGCAAAGGTGCCATTGATCACTATGTGACACCCGTCAAGGCTGGCCGTCTCTTAGTAGAGTTGGGTGGGCGTTGTGAATTCAAAGAAGTACAAGGTTTCCTAGACCAGGTTGCCCATAAGTTGCCCTTTCGGGCAAAAGCTGTGAGCCGACAAACTCTAGAAAAGATGCGAAAAGATCAAGAGGAACGAGAACGTAACAATCAAAACCCTTGGACTTTTGAGCGCATAGCCACTGCCAACATGCTGGGGATACGGAAAGTACTCAGCCCATATGACTTGACCCAGAAAGGGCGATACTGGGGCAAGTTCTATATGCCTGAACGTGTGTAGCAAGAATGTAAAGAATAACTGTACATGGGCTACTGAGCAAAGGAATCTGCATCTTTAGTCCCCTCGGCCTACCCCTAAAGTCTCTGGGTAGCTCATGTGAGTAGATGATTTCTGAAAAACTGTTATCTGGGGGTTTTTTTAATGTATTAACCACTAAAATATATATATTTTATACTGAGTATAAAATGTGAATGTATTATATTAATAAAGTTTGAGCATCACCTCAGGACGTAACTTCTCACTGATCACTCTTAATCCTTTAAAGTATTAAGAAATAGGTGTGATCAACTCTTAAGAGCTCTTGGTTGTGGTTGTCCCAGATTGTAAGTGAACGTCCTCAGGGCTGACACAGACCTTTGCATCCTATACCTCTGATGCAAGTTTGACTTCATGCCGGAGTATGCATTTCAGGAGCTAGTTTCCATGACATCTGGCTAATTAACAAAGACAGTTTGAGAATAACAAAAACAGACAGTACACAGGTTAATTGATTCAACATTTATTGATGCCCAGCCACTCGTCCTCTCTCAACCTTGGAAGGGAGCATGCTGGACATTATGACAAGGAGTACAGCAATACCCTTGGATTTTAGCAAAAGGAACTGATAACAAAAGTGGAAATTGTGTGGCCCTTCCTAGGTCCGAAATTCTCTGGAGGGAGAGTGTCTATGTCTTTGTGTCCCTGCAGGTATGCTACAGTGCCATGTGTCACACAGCACACAGGTTAATGCCAGATGAATTAGGGCCCCATGTTTCCAGCTGCCTGTCTGCCTTTCACAAATTAATCTATTTTTTCAGAACTAGCCAGTAACATCTTTTATCCTCTATTGAAACTATAGGAAACACAAATTGGTAAAAATATTAAACCATTTATTTTTGAAAATGGGTAGAAAACACACTGACTAAAATGTCATTTTTCTATCCCACTTTCTTAAAAGATAGCTCGAACAAAGAAAATAAGAATTTACTTTAAAAAGTACAAATTTATCTAAAAAGCTATGTGGTTCTCGAGAATTATGTAGTAGGAACCTCTTATAATCAATGATTTATATCAACTCATTCACATAGCCGGTTTTAAAGCTGAAAACAACTAAACCTTGATTTGCATTGGGGACCGTATTTGGAACAGTACATGCATTCCTGGCCAATAGTTTGAGCTGGGGACACAAGTCGGGTGAGAAGTAAGTGATAGTCTCCTTTCGCCTTTCTCTCCTGACATCTTCGTCTGCTCTTTATTATGGTTTCAAGTACGGTGCTGATGCCTGTTGGCAGTTTAGTCACAGTATAAACCAGCTTCTTTTAGGTCTGGATTCAGTTATTGAACCATAGTCCTGGGGCTAGCTATTTTCTCTTCATATACAGAACTCCACCATCACCACCCATCAAAAAAGCAGTTGAAAGTGTGTGTTGAGGTAATGGGAGGGTAGCCTTTTTGTATAGGTGGATCAGCCCACTCCCAGGGAGCTCTACATGCCCTCTGTGAGTAACAAATCCTGTTCCCACTGATGCCCTAAAGAGTTTGAGTCAAATCCAAGAACTCGTCCATGAGTGAAATCAACGCTAAATCTCGGTAGTTAAGTCAGCAGACGCTTGAGCACCTGTAAGTGACAGGCACTGTTCTAATCAGGGGACCGCACAGGGAACACGCCAGGCACAGGTCCTGTTCTTAGATAAACTTCACTTTTAAGACTACTATTACATCTTGAAGAAGGAAACAGATGTGGGGGAGTCAAAGGTAAGACACGGAAGAGCCTTAAGAGTGAAAGTAACAAGTGCCCTGAGCTTGATCAACCCATAGCAGTTCAAATAAAATCCTGTTACATCGAATATGTGACATTACCTGACTCTTCACAGCCCTACCATGGGCACAGGCTCTGAAAGTCTTCTTCCTAAGCAAGGATCAGGCTTACTGTTCTCCCTGCAGTCCCTTCCTTTAAACCATCTGCCTAACCAGCTGTGTATGTATTGCTATACTCCTGGTTCCTTCATGCCTGCCCCCAACCCAATTCCATATGAAGTTTGTTCTCCCTTAGCATAACTTTTTATGAGTAGTTGATTGGTGCCCTCTGTCCTAGAAGTTTTTAATGGAAGGAGAAGTAGCTGGTGAAGAGTCTGCCGTGGAGAAGTGATGGCACCACACAGGTGAAAGAGGATCAGAAATGCCAGTTGAAGATCCATCTGGAAGGCTGAGGGAGATAACAGAAGTATGGGGGGTGTGGGAAGTAGAAATCATAGATTATATGACTTAGTGTTCATGGCCAGGATCACCAGGTCCCTCTTTTGTTGGAGTAAGGGACTAATCACAAGGCTGTGTTAACTTGTCCCAACCTTAGAAGGGTTACTATGCAACCCCCTTCCAAAAAGTTTAGGGTATATATAATGCAAGAACTAATTCTTGCTTTTCCCATCCCCAGATACCAAGGCCCAAATTTTGCAGCAGGTCACCATCCTTGACCTGTATAAAATATTCTTCCAACCTGGTTATGGACTGAATGCTGCTGTCTGTTTCCCCAGCTACTTGCTACCACCTCATTCTTTGTTCATTTTTCCCTTTTTTGGAGAGGTTTTTGCTATAGAGCACATGTGCTTGCCAGAAAGAGAGACAGACAGTGAGAAATCACCCCCCAGGGGGATGACCACGCCACAATCCCTTCTCCATTCTCCTCTTGGGATCTTGGGCACGCACGCACATGTGCCCTGTGTGAGCCTAAGCTACCGGGTCCGGGACTCAAACCGTGATCAGCTATATGGGAGTCCAGCGACATAGCCATTACGGCAACTGCTGGTCTCTCTCTGTTCATTTTTCTCTCTGTGAAACATCCCTTTCCTTAGTTTTCTCTAAATATTATCTGTTCCAGCACCTCTATCCAACCCAGATCAGGGCACCTAGTGACAAACTGAAAGTCCCTAGGGCACAGAGTTTTAAGTAAGTGAAAGCAGGCCTGACCCTCCCAAATATGGCTCACCTTTTTCAGGAAAATATGCTCCCAATGGTAGAAGCTAAGATGATCGCAAGAATAATACAGCAGATCATGATCATTATCTTCTTCTGCTCATCCGGAGAAAAAAAAGCACATGAGAAACATCAGTGTGTAGGGAGAGTTCTAAGGGCAGGGGCACAGCAGTCTGTGGACGTGGGTGAGGGTCTGAAGGAAAAGGAATGCCAAGAGGAAAAAGGAGATGGATCTGGCTTCTAGAACCCAGAATGTTCATGGACATTGATCTCTAGGAGAGATTCAAAAATTAGATCCATGGAATCCCAGAGGATGCTTTAGTATTTACTTTTCCTTCTAGAAAACATCACAATAGGTCTTCCTCAATTCCTCCTCAAGCCAGATACTTTCTAAATGAATAAACCAAATACAGCTCCACTGCATTCTTCAGGAGTGAAACGATTTTTGAAATCTGAATGCTGAACC